ATGAAGAATTATTACCAATGGATATATTTCTGTAATTCATGTGCATCTAAGTCATATATTTTTTTTTTCTCCTTGTTGTTGTTCCTGTTTTATTATTATTATTCACTATATATTGTTCATGATTATTGCAGATATTTTACGTTGTTATAAAGAAGGCAATCAAGAAGTATGTATATTTTTGATGTGCAAATTTTATTAAAATTGAAAATTATTGGAAATACAGAAAAAATAAAGATAAAAATTGTTGAGAATGTGAGAAAGAAAGACTAACTAAAATCAAGAATATGAAAGGAGAAAACTAACTACATAAAAAGATGAGAATAAAGAACTGACTACTGACCAATGTTCAATATTAAAGATAAAATTGTATGGCAATGCTTGATTATTGATGCTGATGAGGGTTTGCGCCACGTTTTCTATAAAGAAAAATTAGTGACCTATTCCAGTGTCATAAAGTACCCGACATGATAATCACAAAGTAGAATGTACAACTGATGAAATAAAATATCAGCAACATTCTCTCGATGTATTATCATTAAAACAACATATTGATCCAACATACCTGCTTTATGGCTAAAGACATTATTCAAATATTCTTCTTAGCTCAAGACAATTATAGATCAACTTCTACTCATGAACAGAGGTCACAAGTTCAATGTATACTTTTGACGGAAGATTCTTTCGAATATTTTGCTCAACTCAAAGCAAAGATTTGGAGCTGATTACATCAACTACCAACAAACGACAAATCAATAATTGTTCCCAAGAATCTTTCAAATATTTTGCTCAATTCACAGCAAAGATTTGGAGTTTATTACATCAACTATGAACATACGACAAATGAACAATTCTTTCAAAGATTCTTTCAAATATTTTGCTCAATTCAAAGCAAAGCTTTCGAGTTGATTACATCAACTATGAACACACGACAAATGAATAATTCTTCTAAAGATTCTTTCAAATATTTTGCTCAATTCAAAGCAAACCTTTGGAGTTGATTACATCAACTATGAACACACCACAAATGAATAATTCTTCTAAAGATTCTTTCAAATATTTTGCCAAATTCAAAGCAAAGATTTGGACTTGATTACATCAACTATGAACACACGACAAATGAATAATTCTTGCCAAGATTCTTTCAAATATTTTGCTCAATTCAAAGCAAAGATTTGGAGTTGATTATATCAACTATGAACACACGACAAATGAATAATTCTTTCAACGGTTCTTTCAAATATTTTGCTCAACCCAAAGCAAAGATTTGGAGTTGATTACATCAACTATCAGCACATGACAAATCAATAATTCTTTTAAAGATTCTTTCAAATATTTTGCTCAATTCAAAGGAAAGATTTGGAGTTGATTACATCAACTATGAGCACACGACAAATGAATAATTCTCCACAAGATTCTTTCAAATATTTTGCTCAATTCAAAGCAAAGCTTTGGAGTTGATTATATCAACTGTGAACACTCGACAAATGAATAATTATTTTAAAGATTCTTTCAAATATTTTGCTCAATTCAAAGCAAATATTTGGAGTTGATTACATCAACTATGAACACACGACAAATGAATTATTCTCCAAGAGATTGTTTCAAATATTTTGCCCAATTCAAAGCAAAGGTTTGGAGTTGATTACATCAGCTATGAACACACGACAAATGAATAATTCTTCCAAAGATTCTTTCAAATATTTTACTCAATTCAAAGGAAAGATTTGGAGTTGATTACATCAACTATGAACACATGACAAATGAATAATTCTCAACAAAGATTCTTTCAAATATGTTGCTGAATTCAAAGCAAAGATTTGGAGTTGATTACATCAACTATGAACATACAAAAAATGAATAATTCTCCAAGACATTCTTTCAAATATTTTGCTCAATTCAAAGCAAAGATTTGGAGTTGATTACATCAACCATGAATACACGACAAATGAATAATTCTTTCCAACATTCTTTCAAATATTTTGCTCACTTCAAAGGAAAGATTTCGAGTTGATTATATCAACTATGAACACGCGACAAATGAATAATTCTTTTAAAGATTCTTTCAAATAGTTCACTGAATTGAAAGCAAAGATTTGGAGCTGATTACATCAACTATGAACACATGACAAATGAATAATTCTTCCAAAGATTCTTTCAAATATTTTGCTCAATTCAAAGCAAAGATTTGGAGTTGATTATATCAACTATGAATACACGACAAATGAATAATTCTTTTCAAGATTCTTTCAAATATTTTGCTCAATTCAAAGGAATGATTTGGAGTTGATTACATCAACTATGAACACACGACAAATGAATAATTCTTTTAAGGATTTTTTCAAATATTTTGCTGAATTCAAAGGAAAGATTTCGAGTTGATGTAATCATCTATGAACACACGACGAATTAATAATTCTTTTAAAGATTCTTTGAAATATTTTGCTCAATTCAAAGCAAAGCTTTCGAGTTGATTATATCAACTATGAACACACGACAAACGAATAATTCTCAACAAAGATTCTTTCAAATATTTTGCTGAATTGAAAGGAAAGATTTGGAGTTGATTACATCAATTATGAACACACGACAAATGAATAATTCTACAAAAGATTCGATCAAATATTTTCCACAAATAACAGCAAACATTGGGACTTGATTACATCAACTATGAACACACGACAAACGAATAATTCTCAACAAAGATTCTTTCAAATATTTTGCTGAATTGAAAGGAAAGATTTGGAGTTGATTACATCAACTATGAGCACACGACAAATGAATAATTCTTTCAAAGGTTCTTTCAAATATTTTGCTCAATTCAAAGCAAAGATTTGGAGTTGATTATATCAACTATGAACACACGACAAATGAATAATTCTTTCAAAGGTTCTTTCAAATATTTTGCTCAATTCAAAGCAAAGAGTTGGAGTTGATTACATCAACTATCAACACACGTGAAATGAATAATTCTTTCAAAGGTTCTTTCAAATATTTTGCTCAATTGAAAGGAAAGATTTGGAGTTGATTACATCAACTATGAACACTCGACAAATGAATAATTCTCAAGAAAGATTCTTTCAAATATTTTGCTCAATTCAAAGCAAGCTTTGGAGTTGATTACATCAACTATGAACATACGACAAATGAATAATTCTCCACAAGATTCTTTCAAATATTTTGCTGAATTGAAAGGAAAGATTTGGAGTTGATTACATCAACTATGAACACACGACAAATGAATAATTCTTTTGAAGATTCTTTCAAATATTTTGCTGAATTCAAAGCAAAGATTTCGAGTTGATTACATCAACTATGAACACACGACAAATGAATAATTCTTTTAAAGATTCTTTCAAATATTTTGCTCAATTGAAAGCAAAGCTTTGGAGTTGATTACATCAACTATGAACACACGACAAATGAATAATTTTCATGAAAGGTTCTTTCAAATATTTTGGTCAATTGAAAGAAAAGATTTGGAGTTGATTACATCAACTGTGAACACACGACAAATGAATAATTCTCAACAAAGATTCTTTCAAATATTTTGCTCAATTTAAAGTAAAGATTTGGAGTTGATTACATCAACTATGAACACACGACAAATGAATAATTCTCAACAAAGATTCTTTCAAATATTTTGCTGAATTGAAAGGAAATATTTGGAGTTGATTATATCAACTATAAACACACGACAAATGAATAATTCTTGAAAAGATTCTTTCAAATATTTTGCTCAATTGAAAGGAAAGATTTGGAGTTGATTACATCAACTATGAACACACGACAAATGAATAATTCTCAACAAAGATTCTTTCAAATATTTTGCTGAATTGAAAGGAAAGATTTGGAGTTGATTATATCAACTATGAACACACGACAAATGAATAATTTCCCAAAAGATTCTTTCACATATTTTGCTGAATTGAAAGGAAAGATTTGAAGTTGATTACATCAACTATGAACGCACGACAAATGAATAATTCTCCAAGAGATTGTATCAAATATGTTGCTGAATTCAAAGGAAAGATTTGAAGTTGATTACATCAACTATGAACACGCGAGAAATGAATTATTCTCCACAAGATTCTATCTAATATTTTGGTGAATTGAAAGGAAAGATTTGGAGTTGATTACATCAACTATGAACACACGACAAATGAATAATTCGTTTCAAGATTCTTTCAAATATTTTGCTCAATTCAAAGCAAAGTTTTGGAGTTGATTACATCAACTATGAACACACGACATATGAATAGTTCTTCTCAAGATTCTGTCAAATATTTTGCTCGATTTAAGGCAAAGATTTGGAGTTGATCACATGGGATAGAAAGAGACGACAAACTAATTCCCTTCTCGTTGTTGAAATACATGAGCCAGAAGACGACGAATAACCAAGTCTTCAATTAGTGCTTCTTCGACTGGTGCTGCTTGTACCATGCAGCTTGTTATCATGATTGCCAAAATGGCAATTAAACATACCATTCGAATGGTCTTTTGCATTGTCATTTGTTGCCGTTCGACGCTGATGAGAGAATAGTAGATAAATATGAGCAAGTATGTAAATGGTATGCTCTTGCAATAATGGTTCGGCTTTATAATTTGAATATTAAGAGGGAATGAGATGAATATCGACGCAAGCGTGCTTTTTTTATCTAACTGACAATGAGTAGAAATTCCCCACCTATTGATGGGGATTCCCCACCTATTAATAGAAATGCGCACACTTATCAGTCCAAATTCTGCGCTTTTCGGTGGGAATTCCCCACGTGTCGATAAGAATTTCCCACTTATCTATGGAAGTTCCCCATGCATCGATGGGAATTTTCGACGTGTTGATGGAAATTTTCGACCTGTTGATGGGAATTTCCTACCTACCTATGGGAATTTTCTACCTACCTATGGGAATTTCCGACCTATCTATTGTGTTCTCCTTTTGTTAGAATAAATTTAAGGGCAAATGTGAGGTCGTTTGAGGACAAACATAACTTTTATTTCAAAAAAGATGATCTGACCAGTCAAGTGTATGTCACATATATATATATAAGCATCACCAGGTATAACAAGAAAAAAAGAATGACAATACAGATGCCGGATATGACACCCTTCTCGGACAAGGAAAAAAAGTTTTTGTTTACAAAACACTTTTCTTTTTTTTTTAAACATAATAACATAACTGTAAATGCATCAAATGAAAGAGAAAAAGAAAAAAACAGTAGGAACAAATGTTCATATAATATCATGAAGGAAATATAAAACATAACGAAAAAAAATACACTATAGAGAAAAAATCTGACAATAATAAAAAAATACAACAATAGAAAGAGAAAAAAAAATGTTTACTATTGTTGTTTACTCTTGTATATCATTTGATCTTCTTGATAAATATTGAACTTGACGACGAAAAAAGTAATAATGACGTCGATCAAATATATCACCGAGTAATCTTCGTTCATTTTGTGGTTCAATTATTTTGTCTTTTACACCAATAAGTAATAAATCATCAACCGGTTTGACATGAGTATAATAAATATTGTATTCAGCAAGAATATGTCGAACTAATTTCATTGTAAATCTGTAGTAGAATGAACGAGTGATAAAATATCTATAACGTTGCATTCAGAAATAAAGATTTCTTTTTCGATTTCGTCGTTTTCGAGCTTCAGCTGATCGTGTTCGACTATATAATTGACGTTTCTTGGTTAAAGATTGTTGTTGTTGTTCATAATCACTGACATCATCAACCATAGAATGGTTGCTGACACATAAATCATTATCATATGGTGGTGATGCAGGATTTGGTTGATTATCATCATCTGATATTGCTTCATATAATGATTCATTATTATTTAGTGATAATGCTTTATTTAATTTATTATCATCATTTGAAATTTCTTCATATAACACATCATTATTAATAGTAATTTTAATACATTGATTAACTGTTATTTCATCATCATCATCTTCATCATCATCGGAGATTAATTCAATATCATCATTAATATTCTTAATTATTTGTTGATTAATATTTGTATTTGTTGGGTTGTTATTCGCTCGTGATGATGATGGTAATGCCTGAAATGAATCAAGAATATTAATTTTTTTTACCTGTTGAAATGTCCAATATAATGTAACAAGTCGAATTAAACATATTGCTGCAAAACAATCATATATCGCGTAATGTATCATTTTATTTCTCTTTGATGTTGATAAAGTTGAGTACGTTGGATCTAATATAGTTGCCCAATTATTAACAGTAATTGACTTGTCAATAAACATTCCATATGTATAAATTAAAGCTTGTTGTAATGCCCATGGTTCATTAGGACGATAAGAACTTGGTTTATGACAAGTATATTTTGATAATAAATTCATTTGTCCCTCAGAATTAATATCATTAATAATAATATTACGACGATTTAACAGGCTACACATCTCGCAATGAGATAGTGCCCAACTATACCAATCAGCAAATTCAAATTGAAGATTTGCCATTGATGTTTTAATTGGCCATTCAAACCATTGATAAACAATAGCTGGATAAATTTCCTTACGCAATGGTTCCCAAGAATATATGTTATTTCTAAATTTAAAAATTAATTCAAATAATTGTTTAATTTGTAAATGAATTAATGAATGAATTGGTGGTAAATGTGCAAGTTCTACTAATATAACAAAAAATGGTAATTGTTGAGGTATTGTTTGAATTTGAATTAATGCTAATTGTTTGGTTGTTTTTTCATCGTCAGTATCAAATGTAAATTCATTATAATTTCGTACATAATTAATTAATTTTTGCATTGTTTCAGTTCTTGTATATTTGTTTACATATATATAATTTCATAAAGTGATGTTGGTATATCAAATGCTGGATATTGTTGTTGATATTAATAATTTTTCTTCGCGTTTTTTTGCAGCACATATCAAATTCGATTTTTGATTGTCATCAAGATAAGCTGGAGGGTTGTTAATATCTCGCAAATGATATGGAACAAATTTATCTGACATTATAATGACTAAAGAAAAGAAGATTAAACAAATTGATATAAAATAAATGAAGAGAAAAAAAGAGTAATATAAATGAGGTAAACAAATAAATCATATAATTTATCATTCGTTCTGAGGAATAAACCTATCAAGATTGCATACATAGATATCGTTAGTATATTAATAAAATATGTAATATGTGTAAAGTTAAAACATAAATAACTTTATTTGTTGAGAACAGAAACACCTCTAAAAGAGACGATTTCCTGTGTGTAGTTTGTTTGTATTTGTAATAATGAATATTTGTTAATACTAACCATATGCAAATGATAATTATATTGATAATTAATGCGCGCTAATTAAAATATCAATATTTTCACAAGCATAAGGAATCGATATTAGTTCAACTAAGTCGTTGCGCATACAACAAAGATGATCAAACATCGAATCACCATAAACATAACATAACATTAATATTTAATGATCATTAGCAAATAAATAAACAGTAATATATCATGTTGATTTTAAAATAAGAATAGGTCAAATATCATTAACATGTACTCTGGATTCGACCTGTGGTTTTTCATCTTTGACCCAATCAATTGGATGTTGTTTCCTAATAATTATTTTTGGTGTAATCGAATATGTTGGTTCTAGTTTTTTTTTTATTCCATGAATTTTAATCAGTACTGGATCATTGATTTCATAATGTGGATCTGGACGTTGTTTGTCATAATTAATCTTGTATTGTCGTTGTCGATGAATAATATTATCACGTGCGGGTTGTTGTATTATCAACAGATTTTTTTTCAATTGTACATAATAATCATTTGATTTATTGAAAGTAAATGATGATGAAGGTTCATCAGTAGGTAAACGTGGTTCTCGACCAAATTGTAGTTGAATCAATTGGAAAACAGATCGACTTATATTTCTATAATACAAATCAATCTGCTAGTCTCAACTCTTGCTTTTCAGCAATCGATTTCCTGTCGAAAATTAAATTAGATTGAAATAAATATGCTTGAATAAAAATTAATTTAAAAGAAATGCAGATTATTTTCGCCGACGCGTTTCGTATCTTTTATAAGATAGTACTCTTCAGGGCTAGAGATTTCTATATCTAAAATAGAAAACAAACAAAAGTGTTTGTTACCAGATATTCAAATATGAAGCAGGCATATCATTTAATTTGTAGAGCAAAAAGCGTAATGAGTTCAACTATAAAAGAACATGTCAAAAACCATATTCACTTGTGTTTAATTTCGTATGATTTTTATCTAAAATAATTGAATATTAATGAATAAATGTTGCATGAAAATTTTTTTGGAGAAAAACCAACTTATGATTAAAATAACTCAAGAATATTAAATGAATGAAAGAAAAACAAGAAGAAGAAGAAGAAGAAAATTGTTCAAATACAAAGAAAATAAAAATCAAACTGATAAAATAAATAAAGTAAAGTTTGTGTGGTGAAACATGCAAATATATGCTGTGAATATATGTATGCCTATGAAATACTAATAGTATTGAAAATCTTGATTAATTTGAATGACGTACTAAATTAGCACACCAAATATCATGTCGAACATTCATATATCCAGTACGATCAAATACATGACCTAATACATTTAATTTTGCTTCCGTATGTATAACGAATAATGAATGAACAAGGGTGTGGGTGAGGATGTGGGTGTGGGTGTGAGTATGGGCGTATCTTCTCTTCGCTACACCCACACTCACACCCACACCCACACCCGCACCCACACCCACACCCACCCCCCACGCCTCACACCCACCCACACCCAACACCCACACACTCACACCCACACCCACCCCACCCACGCCCACACCCTGGATGTAGCGCACAGTCGAATAAACATCATGCTCACAATGAGATCAAAGACATTAATGTGCCTGTACATTTGTCATAACGAAATTATATATATATTTTCCGTTACACTTTCATTTATTATAATCTCAATACGATGGTACTACTTCAACGAAATATTTCAATAGATGACCGCATACTTGATAATTGCTGTCGCAGCCAACTGAGAAGTTCTTCTTCTGCTAGATATGATATTTATTGTTTATCATCGTCACATTTCAAATTGTGCGTTGATTGAATCACACAACTAACTGGTATTGGACTTTTCATACAGATGTTAAGTTCATCATATAGCTTAATAAGAGATGGATTACTGAATCTCATGCAGTCCTCTTCATCATATAATGCGTAGAATCCTTATCAATTCAGTTATTTCAACGATTTATTATCAGTTTCTAATAGTGTCTTTCCTATAGAAGTGTCTTTACGGTGTTCGAAAATTCTAAGTGAACGAAGAGATAACATTTGAAGTTGATTTTTACATACTTTATTTTTACTATACGATTTCATTTTGTACGAAATTAAATGATTAAATGATACTGAAAAGAATAATTATCGCATCGATATGAACACATTGAGACATGTTTTGAAAGTTTTTCTTCTCATTTTAACCTTTTATTCTTGTGCTATCTCGATTAACAGCTATCTTATTTGTTTCTATGATTTATCCAAACAATTATATATTCGTTAAATAATAGTGTCCTTACATCAGTCACTGATTTTTTTCTTCGTGGATTTTCCACTTTTAAGTAGTGCATAAGTTAATATATGTGTTTTTTTTTGAACAAATCAAGTCAGAGCTTATCAAACATTTCTAGATTAAGTAAATTGTTAATAAAAATATTCTTATGTTTTTTTTTATTATGTTGTAATATTGACTTCTTAACTTAATTTTGCAATAACTAAGAGCTCCTCTGAATTATTTTTGACGCGAACGAAGTCTATAGATAGGACTATTTTCTCTACCAGCGGACTCAGTTCAGAAATCAAAAGCATGTATCACATAGTTTTTTTTTGTTATTTCCCTGGTTGGGTAGTAAATAACCAAGACGTTTGCTATTACTGAAAAGATGAAAACAATCTAACTCTACCGAATGTAGCATCTCGAAGAAAGAGAGAGCGAGAATTAGAGCCAAACTCTATGCGAGTCTATCTGCTGTGGTAGTTCTAAGATTTTTCTGATGAGCCGTTCTCTACAAATGGTGAGTGTGATTGTTGCTATCGTCCTCATACACCCCATTCCCAGACCCTCAAAATAGTTTCTATTAGAAATTTTAAAGAAACTTGCTATTTTTCTGTTTTATACTTGAAAATATTTTGAATTAAATTGATTTTTAAAACTGATGTAAAATTTTCAATGTTTCTTTGCATCAAAAACAAAATCCAAAGCAGGGCAGGTTACAGATTACGAGAAAAAGTCTCAAGGTAGGGCAGGGTCAGCTTACAAAATTTCTACAGGGTAGGTTATACGTTACAGAAATTTTGTGACGTGTTATCCTCTACTGAAGTTGTATCAAATTTTAATTTGAATTGACCTTCGCCAGTGTACTTATAGGTTCTAACATACCATGTACCTTCAAACTGATTTTTAGTCGAATTCCAAGTTAATTGTATTGCAGACGTGTGACCGAGATTCTCTATTGGATCACCTGTCCCTGCTTCATACTTCTGTGATAGAGCTAGTCGCAGATTTTGCAAAGAAAAACTACCAACAATTGTAAAGTTACCGGCATGATCTGCTCCTTGACCAGTTACTTTGCCTAAGGAACAATCGAACGTAAGTGATACTCGATAAGGTCCGTGCCACTTGCCATATTGATAATATCGAAAAGACCAAACACCTGTCTCAAACGGATACTTCTCGTTGTTATGATACTTTACAGAACCTTGATGGATGAAATGTTGATTCACTTGTGATGGCCTATCATCCGTGCAGATACAGCAACAAATCAGACACAAATAAGTTATTGATACCACCGCCAGCGCTACTGTCAATACGAAAATAAGTATATCAGCAAGTCCGCATTCCATAGAGAAACATAGGAGTGGTTTTCCATCTGACCCTGAAATATTAATAGATCATAATATGAGTCTTCAAACGAAAACAACATCGACATAGTTAGAGTGAATGTCATGGATAAGCACAGAGAAAAATTACTGATTTCGATTGATTTAATACGCTGCTATTAGTACATTACTGAAAACTTTATATATGACTATTATCATTTAAGACTTGTTTTTCAGATAGTATAAAAAACAACTGCCTATCCAAAAACATTCTCATGTGAGGTCAAATCTCAGCGTGCTGTTATACTAATCAAAATAAGCTATTACTTTTTGCCGTTATTTGGAATATACATTTAGTTTGTAACTTACTAAATCCTCCACCACCTCCTCTTCCACCACCACCACCTGGACATTGAACAACGCTTGTCAGAAGAACCAATATAAAAACAAAATATGCTGTGATATGCATTGTTTAATCTAGAACAATATGTCATTCATATAGACTTTCTATTAAATATAATATTTCTAACCTTTTCGATCTGTCAACCTAAGGAAATGAGAAAGACACATTCTAAAGAAAAACAATATAATTAGAGTATACCAAAAGTAGTGATCCTCATATCTTATTTTTCTACACAAAAATAGGATACGGGGTTACTACTTTTAAAGCCTTGCTAATGAGATTCATAAAAAAATACGAAAGAATATCGTTTCAATGACCGTTTGATTTCATGCTAGTAAAAAGTATTCGAGTAGTATTATATCATTATTATGTTTACAATACTGTTCTTAATTATTATACCACAAAAATAGTTTCTAAAATTCGTTAACAATCATTATCAAAGTTCACAAGTAGAATTTATCAATTCTATTGAGCATGTTCTTAGTCATTTTCTTCCTTGATTAATATACGTCGAGTTTAATTCACAGTTTTTGTTTCAATTCAGAAAGATTTTTATAGACTTTTCAATAAATAGATCCCATGCTAAACAGAAATTAAATAGATTATGATAAATGTATACATGTTTGCTTAGTTGATCACTTTTTTGATGAATCATGTAGATAAGTATGCACATCATAGAGAGAGAAAGAGAAAAATCTATCATCACTTCATAGTTAATTATTCGTCCTTGTTTATTATTGTTTGATTGTATGTTTTTTTCTCTGTCTCGATAGCTATCTCAGGACTTTTTTCAGTTATCATTAAATTAAATAGTTAGAAGTTTAATAAATGGATAGCAGAATTATTCTTGTTCTACTTTACAAATTACATTTATTCTGAAAAATAAGAGTATTAAAGAAAAAAAATTTAGGTCAATTTGGATAGATCGAAATGGAATAGAACTTGACGAAATTCAATAAAAGTTTCGTGAGTAATAGTCAGAGAATAAAGAATATTCCCGTCCCAAACAGTTGAAAAAGAGTAGAGTAGAATGTGGGTGTAATAAGTAATGCTATACGAAAGAATAATTGCTAGTTGTAATTACAGAGGAAACAAAAATCTTCTCTATTGTCTACTAATCTCTGCTATACTATGCGATTAAGAGATGCTGAAGTAATTAGAAGATTAAGTCAGATATATTGAACACATTTTTATTTATCAATCATTACAGAAGGTTTTTTTGATTGTGTACCTCGCCGAATTTCTTGATATACACACGTACAAAACTACATTTTTATTGTCTTTTTATTTTAGAAAAGGTATTAAAATAAAGTGTGGATGTTTGTTCATTAAAAATATGAATTTCACTTACTTTAATTAGCCAATAAAAAAGAAAATTCATATGGTGCAGTTTTTTTTATAAAATATTCTATGTTAACAAAAGCGTCTTTCAATACAGAGAGCAATTAAAATACAGCATCGATCCTTATTTATTTAATAACCCAACTTACACGAAAAAACTTACATATTGTTAAAATTTGAAAGATAGAATTCTGGTATGCACTGGCATCATGGACTCCGATTAGTGCAGGGCTAGCTCCCCCACAAAAATGTAAGAAATAAAATTTTGTTTCTGCGAAAATTTTTTGTCTTATTTTTGGCAACTCAAAGATTTTCAATTACAGTGCCATTATACACCATCCATTAATACGTTTCAGCTCTAGTAAAAATGTTTATTTATCCACTCCATTATTAAAAGAACCTTTTCCTACCACAGTCATTCTTGACTATTTGTGAATTCCATATTTTAGTTCTCATCTCTGCCAGAATATCTATTTACAATTTGTTCTAGAATATCAGTTCATTATATTTAATGTTTCTGCTGGAATATCTATTTATTCTATTTACTGTTTCTGCCAGAATATCTATTCATTCTATATACTATTTCCGCCAGAATATTTATTCATTCTATTTACTGTTTCTACCAGAATATTTTTTACTTTCTTTTAATAAAGACGAACTGGGATTATCATATTATGAAATAAATATGTGTTTTTTGTCGAATACTGTCTGCCGAAAAAGCTTAAACTTTCTGCGAAAATGTACCCCCCCCCCCCCCCCCCCACACTTTCAAAAGTAATCAGGAACCATGACTGGCATAATTCAAGATTATTAGTAATTGTAATTACAGATATTAGAAAAGAAAATGATGAGTGTTTTCTTCGCTAACATGAATAACACAAAAATTCATCTGCCTTGTTCGCTGGAACTGATAATTACTTATGAATCACTAATAATGATAACAAACA